ATACCACGAAGAGTCAATCCGTGAATTCTTCTAGAGTCATGTCTCCTTGATATTCTGGGATCTCAACCTTGAGACTTGCTTCCCACCGTCTCTGATCACCACCCGCAACTATAGCCGATCTGTTTGCTTGCCTTGATGATGAAAGGGAACGCGTGGAGATATTTGCATTGGAGTCACTGTCCCCTGTTTCTGACCGAGAATGTAGCGACTTCACCTCCTTAGCAAGTGCCTTAACTCGTCTTCTCAGCTCTGTCATTTCCTCTTGTGTTTTGTTGTTGAGTTCATGCTCCATGATGTGTGCTATTGGTTTCTTCTTAGGAGCCATAATTCGAAGAAGGATCAACTTGAGCTCTGATACCAATTGACGCAGTACGAAAATGAAACGCGTTGAGAAAAGCTTCAAAGAAAAGAACAGAAGCCAAATTTTAGGAAGAAGACTTCTTCACTAAACAATTAAGAGAAAATTGATAACAAGAGAACTGCCTTAGCCTTCCCCTAGCTACTCTTTATATAGGCATACACCCTTATGCTTCTTAATCCTAATATGAAAACACTCCGTAATAGAATCTTACTAAAACTCTTTAAAAAATAAAATCATAATCTAAAAAAACACTCCAAAATAGAATCCTACTAAAATTCTTCAAAAGGAAAATCCTAATTGAATATAAATTCGAAAACAATGCTATCTTGCTAAACACGAACTAAGATGGAAATTTTGACATGACGCCAACTTGGTAAAAATGTACTAAGATAGAATTCCTGTGGTGATGCTATATCAGTAAATATTTACTAAGATGGGCCGGTGGTATCATTTCTACTTCTTATGTGTTTTGGAATGATCCCAACTTGTATAAAATTTATTGGTCTTTTCCTGTACTGCATCACTCTCTCTCTCAACTTATCCAGATTGGCTTTGTCCTGACTGAGTGGTATGGAGTCGTTGTTAATTCCAAATTATTTGTAAAATTTAAATTCGGGAAACCTATCACTCCCATTATTAATTTCTGATGAACGGCGAATCCGTCTAATCAGCCATGAAGTGAACAGCCGGATTTCATACGACCTATTTGCACTTCCATGCATTTACACTAGTGCAAATGAAATCCAAATTGTAAACAATAAGTAAAAACCATTTACTAGGGATGGAGCTTCCTAAACTATACAAGTTTACAAAATGTGCAACGTAATCCAGAGAGCGAAGGAACAGGCCTTGCTGTAGTCCAAAACCAAGACACGACCCATAAATTATAATGCACCAAAAGTAGTTGGGATTACAGACAGGGAGGAAACACCATGATTTCGATTGGGCCAAGATCAGATAGAGCAGGGCCCCCACATTTGCCACAAAGAAAAATTACTATCATGCCAGCCAGACGATATGCAGCTTCAGTTGTACATATATAGCGATACAATATAGACGGGGTGGGGGTGAAGACAAAAAGATAAATAAATGACGGAGACTGGAGAAATAGTAAATTGCCTTGAGCAGGTAAATGTAACATGTGATTGCTCTGTGACATCCTTCAAAAATGACAAGTCTCACCGAAAGAAGTCTAGGGGAGGGGGGAGGACTCTATCGCCTATGAAAAAGCTGTTAAGGTGTTGCCAAAGTTATTTTTTATTTATACTTTTCATGATGTATTCAGTTAATTTAAATATTTTATTTATAATTAGTTTATTAATGATTTATATAGCAGAAGTGCAGAACCCCACCCAAACCAATCTCAATTTCAAAGATAAAATTTGATTAATTTAAATCAGAAAATTAATAAGAGATCTAATTCTGATCTATGGATATATTATGCCAATTTCATACAAGGTTATTGAGCTTGGAAGTTTGAATGGCTGGCTCAAGGATATATAATGCTACTTGCAAGTATCAAATAGTTTCAATAAAAAAAGAGAAAATATATTTTTGAAGGGTGTCTGATTTTGCTGATGTGGCAACTATTTTTGTTTCAAAAAATAAATTCGTACGTGTTGGTGAACAACCTTAGGTGTTGTGTGCAGTATTTCTTGTTTGTAAAAGTGAAAGGAAAACATGTCGAACTTTTGGTTTAAAAAACATATTTTACTAATTTACTTTGGTGGTTTGTCATTGTGTTTAAAGAAGCATTGAAGATGGAATTTCCGATTTAATTGAATGATATTAGTTCACCTTTCTTATTTTCATTTGTATTTATCTCTCAAACCCAAGTCTATTTGTATGTGGGTTGATAAAATCCAAATAAGTTTCAAATGATTGTTGCAAAATTGTGTTCTTTTAAAGAAAAAAAAAAATATCAATAATCATGAAAATATTCTAGGAGGTGGTCATGAAACCTGACCCCTCGATATATAACTATACAAACAAAAAAAATTATCTTTGTTTGGGTTGGATCTGCATCATTTTAGATTGATTACCGGGCATTGTTTTGTTGTTCCTCCTCGGGCTTGTATTTTTTTTTTCTTTTTCTCCATGGTTACTCATTCTTAATTAGGATTATCTTTTTCCCTGTCTGACCTCTTTCCATTGTGATTGGCTTGATCCTAATAGGAATGGTTCACATGTTTGGTTTATGTATCTTATGAGCCTCTTGTGAGTGAAAACAATGTTTTGATTTTACTTATTTTTCTGGTTTAGAATGTTAGTTTCTGAACCAAACTAAAAATGTTTGTACTTTTGGGGGTGTTCATTTTTTTTGGAGTTTGAAAAAAAAAATTTATTGACCAAGAAATCCATGTTATTTTTTTAGATTTCTACGAGAAACAGGAAAGATTTATTTTCTTGGGCGAACAACTTTTCCATCTGGGGGGAAGTTGCCAACACTTAGATGAGACAAAAATACCTGCTTTAATATTGAATTTTTATGGATAAAATGATTATTATCTTATTTACCTGAGAAATAAAAGAATATGGGTAAATGCACCTACCTGAATAAAAAACACTTACCCATATAAGTAACTTACTGAAAAACGAACAGAACCTTTGTTTTAAAAAAACACTCTCCAAGAATGTATCGTTTCTTAAGAAAAACGAAAGCATTCATGGTGGAGAACACCCCCTAAAATTTGATAAGATTGCTAGAAAACATAAGGTCAATTTATAGAAAAATGTGTGAAAGAAAGGATGAAACGAATTATTGAGGATATCAACGGAGACAACCAGGTAAATTTAAGAAATTAAGATGAGCAAAAGGGATTTTGATTCTCTAGTAAAGATTCCGACTATTGTGAGGGAAGAAAAATTAGAAGGATCTATTATTGCTACTTCTCTTTTTCGGTCGGGCCAGTCCTCTCACGATTCTTCCAATGTCTTCATTTTTTTGGGGGGGCCAGTCCTCTTTCATTGTCTTCAGATTAAAATAATCGTATGCATAAATATTACCTGGTCCGTTTTCTTCATGATGCCTGAACCCATGTTTAAAAACTTACCCAAAATAATCAATAGAGAAGGAAAGGATTCAGTGGGTACTAAGAAAGTTGGAGAGTGGCAGTGGCCCCAGCAAAAGGAAAGAATGGTAATAGCAACTCCAGAAATAACAAAAAAAAAAAAATGATAAAAGAAAAATAAGAAAATACCCAGCTTTTCAATAAACAAATACATATACAAAATAAGAGTGGACGACATATAATATTGTTTTTCGAGACAAAAGAATTGGTGTTGATTTGGACACCATTCATTGTGGTGAAGGTGGGTCCCTTTTTAGGGTTGTAAATGAGACTAACCATTCAAGCTTGCACAAGACAAGCCTGATTATCAATTCGAGTTGGTTAGGGTAGATTATTTATATTAAGGCAAGGGGACCTTATAATTCTAGTTACCCAGTACATGAAATTTCATAAAAAACGCTATTCATTACATGTTTTAGTTACCATTACCATTCATGCAAGCGAATGTTAGTTGTTGGACATTAAATATTGCGACTTAGATTAGGCTCAATTAAGGGTCTAGTTGGGATCTTTCCTTTAAACTAAAGAAAAGAGAGAGAGAGAAATTGGGCGTATCGTGATTGGCATAGTAACCTAACCTAAACCTATAGTTTCTGATAAGGGGAGTCGGAGTAATCGACCAAACCCAATCCTGGTTCACATCAAAGTACATTATGGTTTGTCTGCATCAATAAGCTGTAGGTTGGAATTTGGAAAACATCCAAGGATGGGTTTGGATTGAACCTTTGTGAAAAAACACAACCCAAACTGAACCCAATGTTTTAAAACCGAACCATTGTGTGTTTGGACCAATCAATTTACCGGTTCAACCACCTGGATCAACACATGAGAACCGATCAATGATAGAATAAACCCAACCATCCCTACGCAGAACCTGCTTATACAAATGTTTTATGATATCCCTCCCACAAGGCAACAGGCCAAGCCATGTAGCCAACAGCTCAACCTCAAAAAACAGCCAAGCAACAATTTGGGCTATTTGGGTCTCGCAATCAAATGGCCCTGCTGTGAATGATCGTGATCATGCGGATGAAGTCACGCCCAGTAAATTAAACTCGTCCTCATCACTTCATCATTCAATTTTTCAGCCAATGAATGATGAACACGGTGGGTCTCGCACGATTTACTCAGTGTGCCCACTCACCCAGTATCATTTCTCATTTCCCCACACAAGAATCTTACAGCCATATTATTCTCAAGTTAAGCCCCAAGAAGAAATGGATTTGTAGTATGGGAATCAAACAAAGAGCAAGACACATTCCATATGGTTGAATCAGGCAAAGGGAACCGTTGAGTGCTTGGTATTTGGGTCCCATACATGTACGGGCCTAAATGTCAAAAATACCCCATTCTTGATACATGCACAATACAGCTCACGTCCATGGTAGTATTGCCTATTTCCATGATGTCAACAGAAATGTTCCGATCCAACGGTTTCAGGTTCAAGTGGAGCCATTAAGAATCGTCAATGCACCGTGCACGTGACGCTGTAACTTGGATGGTAGGTTGCCCTCGTCGAGATGAAATCTCCGTAGACGATAAAACCAGCAACAGCTAGCCTCAGCAAGAGAGAGAGAGAGAGAGAGAGAGAGAGACAGAGAACTGGGTGAACTGTTAAGTGTGAAGTTTGCGTTCCACCGACTCCTCAACTTTATTCTTCTTCCATGTCCCCACCAACGTCGGCTTTACATTCTTCCTTCGTTGGACTCCTTTTCTTCTTCCATCATTCAACCCTTCCTCTCCCAACTGAGCTTTGCTTCAACTACGACTCATTGATGGCCTTCTCGCAGCTCAAATTCAGGCTCACATAGTAATTATTAATGGCGACCACCACCGTTGGTTCCCTCTTCAACGGTTTCATCGCTCTGCTTCTCCTTCTTCTCCATCTGGGTTGCTTTGTCTTCAGTACTACCGCGGATGGTCCTTCCACGAAGAAACGAAAGGTATCTCCTCAAACTTCCACGTCTCCTTCTCCGCCGCCTCGCCTGAAGTTTAACTCACACAAGGCTCTTTCCTCCTCTTGGTCCTATATCAAACGGATCTTCTCCTTCAACCACCCAAACAAAGGTGTCGACACCCACCCCACAACACCAACTTTGTCATCCGCCAGATCCTCGCAGCAATTAACTCCTGAACCGATTGTGTCGGCTCCTCCGCGCAAGAAACCCACTCTGTCCAAGAAAGAGACCGATATTTCGGTCGATCATTCTTCCTTTCCTCTCCGGAACGATATATTCCCATGCCCAATATGCGGGGAGATTTTCCACAAGACCCAACTTCTCGAACAACACCAGTCACTCAAGCACGCCGTTTCAGAGCTCTTGGACGGCGACTCTGGAAAAAATATCGTTCAAATCATCTTCAAAACGGGTTGGGATGACAGACAGAAGAACCCCACAATTCACCGGATCCTCAAAATCCACAACAGCCCCAAAATACTAGCGAGGTTCGAAGAGCACAGAGAGTACGTGAAACTGAAAGCTGCACGCAGCGGGGTCAGGAAACGAGACGAGAGGTGCATCGCAGATGGGAACGAGCTCTTGAGGTTCCACTGTTCGACCTTTGTATGTGATCTGGGGCAGAATGGAAACTCCAGCCTCTGTACCCAGCAGTACTGCAGCATCTGCGGGATCATCAGGTCGGGGTTCTCGACCAAGATGGATGGCACGTCGACGCTGTCCAGCAGCTGGAGGGCACACATGGCGCTGCCTGATGAGATCGAGGAGGATTTCGCGTTCATGAACGTGAAGCGAGCCATGCTGGTGTGCCGAGTTGTGGCGGGTCGTGTCGGAATAATCGGACGTGATGAGGATATCGTTGACAAAGACGAGTTGGGGTTTGACTCAGTCGTCGGGAGTGGTGGCGGGGTCCAATCCAGGATGGATGAAGATGAGCTTTTCGTCTTCAATCCAAGGGCCGTTCTTCCTTGCTTTGTTATTGTATACAGCGTATGAGCGGTGAATGTCAGAGTGTGATTTTCTGCAACCGACCCCGCTTTCTTCTTTGTAAAGTATTTTCCTTTGTTTTCTCAAAAAAGAGAAAAAGGAAGGGAGGGGGGGGGAGAAAGGAATGCTTAGGTGGCGTTGTGGTTGGCATGACTGAATGTACTATGAAAGTGTCGGCACTTCTTTTAGGGTTATGTGTCGTGTTTCTCAACTGACTTGAGGTTTGATCTGATGCAGCAGTGCTTATGTGTTTCATGCTTCTAGTGGGTTCTTTATGAAGAAAATAAATCTGCTCTTTACGTGATGTAAATCGTCTGATCATCGGATCATGTCCTTGATTCAGACTTAAGCGGATGGATGGGCCAATTAAGTTGGTAGATCCATTAGAGGTCTGGTATATGGGCCTTAAATCCATCTTGTGGAATTTATATTTATACCTGTATGAAATGTAAAGGCAAGTGCATAAGTGATAAGTATAATAGTGGATTGAAGTACACGTGCTACAGGGACAGAAGAGGATGTAATGTATGGATGTTTGGTGGGTCACATGGCCCATGGGTGGTCTTTAATCTTTATCACGTATGGTAGCCAATGACAATGGGCCATTTTTCTGTGTTGTGCTTCTTTTATGGGACCCATAATTAGGGTCCATGTCCAGCATGATTTGATGCTTTTTAATTTCAATTAGGCAAAAGTAATTGAGGGGGAGCCCACACAAAGGAGTTTCTGGCTGAGACCTAATTATGGTTGTTGAGTTGGATTTCACATGAGGTTATGATATAAGTGGCAGAATTAAAAGAGGAATTTGGGTGGGGGCAGTCACTAATGAAGAGTAGAGTAAAAATCCAGTTCACTGGTGGTAGATTTGGAGTTAATCCCCATTTACAGAGAAGCAGATCATATTAGTACCTGGAAGTGCGAAACTACCTTCACATAATTGAAAATTCTTCTCAGGTTACCCTATCTAAATTATATAATGGTGAACTTTTCATAATGGACCTTATAATGTCTAAAATACCCTTGTATGGGTGCAAGGGATCAAGGATTACAATTCCATAGCGTATGTAGCTGCTTTGAGATTTGATCTGTTTTAAGGGGTAGACAGGTCTTATACCCATCTCCTGAACACACCAATACGCCCTATCCAACTATCGGTCTACATCAGTGATACTGTGATAAAAATCCTGAGTACTTGACCCTAGTGAGTGTGATGTTGAGATAAGGTGGGAAATTCACCAATTCAGAACTTTTAACATAGAGGTGTACATTCGAAGAGCCATTAATGTGGTCGGTGTTGCAAGAAACGCCATATTGTACCCATTACCATGCTGTACACAACCCTTTCATCAATTTTGCAAGGCTACAGCCGATACTGCACTGACGCATTAGATAAAAAAATATCTCTCGTAGATTTACTTTTAACCTATATATCTATAATAAAATCCACCTCATTGATTACTACTTTTATCATGCTGGTTGATTACTTATAAGTTCTTCTGGTATTATGTTTTTTGGCATCATAGTTCTATCCCCTTTTCTCGGTTTCATATGTTTAAAGATATTGATGAAGGAGAATTTGGCCCGACCTCGCAATCACCCGACACGTGGCAAAAACAAGCAGCTCGGGACAGTAGAGCGCCCGAAGCAAGCACCGAAAGCAAGTCCAAACTCACTACTGAGCCCGAACTGCAGACCGCCCTACTAGGAGCCCGAGCTCC